ATAATGCCTAACATTCGATCAGCCATTCGCCGTTTCGCCTCCTTTAAATAAGCTACTGGCCACACAGATATAGTATACATTAAAGCATTGTATATCCATTAGTCATGCATATCCGTTCATCGTACATGTATCACGGAGATCCATAATTCAAATATATTATAAATTTACAATTCGATGTTCGCAACATGCCTTAACTGTATAGACGTTGTAATACAATATTCTAATACGTGCGTTGGATATAGGCGTAGAAAAAAAAGTCTGTAACAATAACATAAGTATAAACCGTTTGTTCTTTTAGTCGAAAAAGGGAGAAATTAATTTTTGATTGCAATCGAATTAAAGCGGAGAAGGTCTATAGTTTTGTTTTGCAGATGACCGCTTTTTTTAGATAAATTGTTATAGGTTAGATGGGTTTAAATAATGGAAATAAATACCAGATAGAACAAGTCACATTGTTTGAATTTTATCGATCCATTATTTTCCCATCAAATGTTTAGTATATAATTCTTAATTAATTACTATTTTACTGTTTTTAATCAATAAATTAATAATACACGTTAAAATAAATTTATAAATAAATAAAAAATATGTAAATTAAAACTATGACGTTACTCGCACATTATGCAATTTGTCTGATTAATATTATAATATGCGTCGTATATAAGTGCTCGTATCATTGTATATACGATGGGAGGCCGAGACAAATCATTTTCATAGAATATAATATTTTATAGATACAAGCGACACAGCTAGTGATTTGTCTTCGTGCAGATTTGAATTTTTGTGTAAAAAACATTGCAAATTTCACATTTTGAAGATAATATATATATATAAAGATCGTATTCTCCTGTTGGTAATTTTTATGCAGTGCATTTTTTTTTTTAAAGAATTTTTGCTGACATAACTATTTGAAGTGCAATTATCGCCGAGTATAATAGGAATCAAAAGTTACGAGAATATATTATATTTTTCAAAAACGATTAATAATGATATCGTCTTAAAAATGTCGTATACTTTTATATAATACGATTATACTTAGCAAGTGTTTTTTTTTTCTATAAATCTAATTTTTGATATTAAGTAGGTATAATGGAAAAAATAGCTATAATGTAGTTTTTACATAAAAACTCTGATAACGTTGTACCTACATACTTTTTGGTTATTTAAAAATTAAAAGTCGTATGAGGTAAAATTACCTATATGATATGAATATGATCATAAAATAACTGAAATTTTAAACATAAACATTTTCATGAACTTTGTTATTTATTTATGTGATAAGTTTTGTATTATTTATATTATTAATGGAAATTGTAAATATTCATAATATTGTATTATATCCTGTTGTCTATACATTTAGAATGAAATAACTAAAGCTTAAAAATGTAAACACCAAATAGAAAGTAGAGGTAACAATTACAATCTTCCAAACAACCCAATAATATTCCATAGCGATTAGTATACTAGTTAAGTAGACAATTTCTACAGTTTTCGTGTATATTAACTGTTAATGTTGTATCGCCACATCGATATACTGTATGTGATGTACAATATGTATATTATATAAGTATAAGAATTAACTCATTAATATTTTATGTCACTAAATAATAATAACTATTTTGCCCGACGTTATAATATATCAATATTTGGTTCAATGTTTTTACTTCAAGAATATTGCTCTCCGATTATATTGATAGTATACATATAACGTATAATATAAGTACACACACATGATACATCACATAACTTCGATATTAACGGTATTGTATATCGTTATCCTATGTACATACATGTTGTCAACAATAAAGTTGAAAATTCGATTGTGATAGTGATGCATGAATTTTTCAAGTTTAAAATTCAATGGCATACCTATACCAACTTTATTAAAAGGTAAACAGTACATAATATTTTTTGTTCCTTAAAATAACCCACAATAGCACTGGCCAGCGGTAGAGAAAATAACAGAAATTTATTTATATATGTGGGTAATATAAAAAATGGATACATCACAACGTTAAAAAATTACGTATGATAAGGATATAAACGACTTAATAATACTCAAGTTTCATGAGGAAATTGGAAGAAAACTGATGATTTTATAGTGGTGGAGATAGAGTCAGGGACCTGATTATAAAGCAATATCTAGGTTCAAAGATTATTCTAAAAACTAATGCATTCAAAACAACAGAATATTACAAAATAATATTATTTTGCTTTAGTGCTTTAACTTCTAAACACTAAACAAAACATAATTTTTACCAAAATAAAAAAAAAAACTGTTTTTGATATTTTCATAGATACCTAACATCAATGTCAATAAACAATTGTTCATATTGTATATTTCACATTAAATATTTATTGTTTTTTGATGTTTCTGGTAAAAAATTCATATTTGCCGAATAAGTATGTTTTTACTCGAACTCATAGCACCATAAAATATAAATGCGCTTTATAAACATTTAAAATTATTTAGTATTTTACGAATAAATAATTTTAACATTTAATCTATCTTACTCGTTCAGCACATTCAGTTATCGTTCAAATTATAAAATCATAGTACAGTATAATTTGACTCTACTTATTATAATTAAATGAATACCTATAATGATGTATTAAATTAAAATTACATTTTTATATTTAAATGTTTATTGCCTATGACTAAATAACAACAGTTTATGTACAATAATGATTATACATAATTTATAGTATCATTCAACTATCATTAAAAATTAATATTAAGAAAATAACGTAAAAACCTAAATCAAAGTGATTTTTTAATACACATTTATTTTATTTTTTTATACATAGCTGACAGATTCAATTATAACTATGCGATAACTTTTATTCTTATCAATTTTAAATTTTGTTTTTAAATGTATTATTGACTTAAATAAAAAAAAAAATTAAAAATTAAAAATTGATTTGCAAATAATATAATTACTCAGTTAGTTATTACAACAGCTGTCAGTTTTTTTATGCGACACTCCGTGTATCTGTAAAACATATTCTTTCAATGAGAGCACTTTTCATGATTTTTGATAAGTATCATCATATATCTAGTATATTATAAATAATGTTGAAAGTTCGAAATAACTAATAAAATGAAGATAAACATGTAAACTTGTATAAATTCGATACGAGTATGGAATATTACAGGTTTCATAATAATACACATTTTTGATAAGTACAGACAGTATAGGTACAATTATTTTACGTCAGAGTAAATAGATTAGTGTACTTGGTCATTATTTAATAATTATCATAATTTTAAGTAACGTATAATCGTATAATTTCAAATCTATAAGAAAAATGTATTTCATTTCATTCTATGGTTTGACGATTGATATATACATATAATGAAAGTCTGTATTATTATTATAGTTGTTTATATTTCGTAAGATCGATTTAAATTATTTTATTATCAGAGTCGATTATTGTTTTCAAACGTGATTTGTGTCACCACGGCACGCAATTTTCACAAAATAAAATTATAATCAGGGATTGCATTTGAAAAAAAAAATGTATACGTTATTTACAATTAAAACGTTACATACATTTTGAGTTTATCGTTATTCAGATATTCAGAATTTAAACGTTATTCGACTTTTGCATTTTTCGTCATTCAGAATTGAAATTTTTAATATATTTTATAATTTATAACTATTAAATAACTGGAAATTAATTATCTGTTTTAATGATGTACTATATTATGACGTTTTGCGTTATGTTTTGTTTAATGATATATTATCATCATACATTTTGTTAATCGTTATGTTTTGTTTTGTGTTATTTAATTATTTATGTTTATCGTTTTCCGTTATAATTACGTTTATAGATTTCAATCGTTTTTGTCTAATATAACTTTATGATAACGTTTGCGAGCCCTGATCGTAATATTACAAAAGTCTCGAGTTCATAAATATAGTACCAATATTAGTATATTATTATGCAAAGAGAGCTGATATTTTAAGGCATTCGACTAAAAACCACTCTCGTAAAAACGACTTATGGCCGAACTTTATATTAAGTATTATATATAATACCTATATCACGGTTATTTCTTAAATTTACTGGACCTTACATCTTATATGCAAATTATTAACGTTCAGAATAATCTATGTTTTTATTGATTTTTGTAAACGTTTGAATAACTACCTATCGAAAACAAATAGGAATAAACGTCATATAGAACATACGGTACCTATCTATTATTTTTAATATAATTTTTTAAGTCATAAATTTCAACTGATAAAATTAAACACTTTGCTTTTACGTATTAGGTACTATCTACAATAATTCTAATACATATTAAATCAGAGATACAAATATATATAAGAAAAAACACTATAGGTATAATACCTACTCTAAAAATATCGGAGTATAATATAATATCAATATTTATATGCATGTACAATTTTTTAAATATTTAAAATAAATATATCGTCGTCGAAAATTGTCAGATTTATTTTTGCAAGATCAACAATATCTGGTGTATTAAATTAAAAACGAATCAAATAATAATATTAATTTTTGAAATTATTGGTATTCGTATAGTAGGTATAATATTTTTATGATATTGAAAGTTATTTTTCTTTCGTTAACAGACAATAATAATTATTATATAACATAATATTATCAAAATCAAACGATATTTAGATACGTTTGCTGTGATATTTTTCGTAAAACATGCATTATTTATGGACAACGAGTTTTATACATTTTTTGTCACGCAGTGTATTATACTATTAAATGTGTATGCAATATATTACACTTTAGGAGATACCTCATCCATTTTTAGTTATTCGATTAATTTCTGATGTGTATTCAATTTTTTTTATTTATATTTGTTTTCATTATGCTCCGTGTGTAAAAAAAAAAAAAAAATACATTTATATACATATAATCAAAACGACCGAAAGTTTGAAGGCGCTTTGAGCGGAGAGTTGTACGTGCTGACGCGATTGGTGCGTGGACGGAGATGCGCGAGACCGTTGTACGCGGCTACAAAGTACCGGCTTTTGGACTGCTTGTGATTTAATAATTATTTAACTCTTTGCGGGATAACATATACGCCTTACCAGACACTAGTGAACAAGGTAACGTTACAATATATTTATATTTTTTTTTCGCTATTTTAATTTCTTAGTGTATCCATTTTATAGGTACTTAATAATTATTATATTCATTAGTTAAATACTACGGTAATACAATAAGGTAGTATATTTTATTTTGTCGAAATTATTATTAATTGTTATTAGTATTATATTTTAACATTGCAATTATTTCACTTGATCATATTTTTAAGACACAATTATTCGGTTCAATAATTATTTATGATAGTGTAAGATGCTATAAAATATATGATCTGCAGGTATTTACTGTTTGTTATTATTTTACATTACCACGCGAATTTTTCAATAGTAATAGTTTAAAATATTGTAAGTTAAATTGAAATCGGAAATTTTAATTCACTCAGTTTTTACTCTAATATTCAAATATCAAAATTATTTAGATTTTAAATATTTTTTTTTTTTTTTAAATTATATATTTAAAACGAAAAAGTACTGATGGATGTTATAATTAAAATTTAAAAGTACATTTAAATTAAATCATCGATTCAATTGCATTTTTGGAATGACATAAGTCCATTATAAAAAATAAAATAAAAACAATTATTGATATTTTTTTTATTTTTTTTTTTTTTAAAGTATAATTACTTACATTATTTACTTTTACACTTAAATAAAATACATAGTTTAATAATAAATATAATAAATTTCAATTTTATAGTGATGATTATTCTTTTTACATTTATATTAATATATGAATAGTATATTAAACAAAAAACTATATTTTTTAAGTTTTCAACATATTTTAGTTTATTATTTTAAACAACCATAATTTATTTAATTTTCAGCGACCATAAAATATCTTTTTAATTATTAAATTACCTAATATTTTTTGCTTATATACATGTTTGTTCAGGACGGTTTAGTTATTACTAAAATATTATTTTAATAGCTAAAATAAAATAGCTACGATACACATACAATATGATTGCAATCTACAATATTCTAATATACTTTATTTACTTTTCACAGCGTTTAATAGGTATAAATTATATTATTTTCGGTTTAATAATATATTACTCTGTGAAAACAATTTATAACGGTCTTCAATTTTTTATATTTCATAAAATATTTTACGTAAAATAAATATTGTTATTGATACCGTAAATTATTATAAAAAAAGATTTTAAACATAATATTCCATATAGGAGTACACATATTTAAAACCAACTGGGTGTTATTAATTTTATTTAGATATTGTATTCAATTTACAAAATTTTTAGTTATATAAGTATCAAAACATTCCCCACAATTCACATCCCAGTTTTTATATAATTGAAATTGAAATATTCAAGATATACATATTTGTCTCAGCTCTCAATTATTTCCTGCAGTGCATATTTATTAGTTGACTTTTTTTATTATATTAAGTGGTATTTTAATAAATATATTAGTATGTAGGTATAGCTAATTTAAAATATTTAAATGGTTCATCATCATCATCGATATAACTAATTTTATGACTAGTTAACAAAGATACACCTCATATAATATAATTCATATTATAACTAATATGAAAACTACTTAAAATACTCAATTCGTAAGAAGTTTTGTATAGACAATGTTTAGATTAATTAATATATATTATACTAGTTAAATTGATTTATTTTTATTTATTTATACCAATTGATTAGATTATCGTCTTGATAATAGATTGTTGAATTTAAATCCTAAGTATTCCACGAATTTCCTTGAATTACATTTATTTATTTGAAAAAAGCGTAATTCATAGTTAAATATTATTCACAAATGTTTATGTTTTTAAGATTAATTTTGATAAGCTAAAGTTTAAGCTTGTCAAAAGTTGATAATAGGATTTAAAGAAGACTAGACGAGAAATTTAATCTAGTTTTAAATTTTTTGTTGCGTTATCGTAATCAAAACGGTCATTGCTTAATACGTTGAAATAAAAATAGCACTTTTTAGTAGGAAAATGGTTCTTTTTGATTCCTATTTGTTATTTTTATTGTTCTATAATCGTATACTACTTACATGTAATAGTGCACAAATAAACAATACATAAAAAAAATACTGTTTCGACAGGAGGTACAACTGCGCTGAGTATTTATAATTGCATTGGATTTTACATTTCGTATCGCTATATCAAATCTGTTGCGTATAAACTTAGCACAGTGAACACAAAACTTCGGACTCAGAAAGGCACTAATTATTATGTGAAATTTAAAGTGATTTTAGTCAATATTCAAAGAACATCGGGAAAATCGCCGTAAAAAGGTGACTATAAATCCAATTGCCCGCGTTAGTTAATGGGCATTAAACGATTGAGCCATGAGTTTCAAAATAATAACACACTTATGTTTTAATAACTTTTGTTTTTGCCGAATTGCTATCAGCTATATTATTTGGTGTATTAAGATTTTTTACGATTCTGTATGCACCATGCCTCGAAGTTTATTATATGTTGTATCGTGAAAATTTGTCTACAGTCGAAATTTCTTTATATTTATATAAAAAAAAGTTTTTGACAATACGTTGGTTGATCCAAAAAACATGCTTTTTCCATGCTCCCTTTTTCTTCTTAATAATTCAGTTACTCAAAATCTTATTTCCAAAATTTTAAATAGATATAAAGACTTATATTTTTGAATTTTTGAAATTTTTCATACTACTTAAAGAGTATCTTGTGAGAACAAAAACTTTTGCTTTTTAAATGAGAATCTCTTTCTTTAATGCTAATTATTTAGTAGATAACTTTTGTGATCAATATTTATAGTTAATCTTATATTAATAATTAAGATTCATTATCTTGGTCCATTATATAATAAAATAAATACTACGATAAATTTGATAATATTCGTATATCAAACTATTTTTAAGGGTTATTATCTGTTATATAAAAATTTTAATAACTGGTAAACTACTTGTTTAATTTTGAATTAAGTAATATTTTACTCTAAATTATTTAGAGTAAAAAAGGATGGTTCTCATTAGGAAAAATGAAAGTTTTTTTTGACAAAGGACACTTATTTTAAGTAGATAGTATAAAATAATCTTAAGAATTGTAATATATATATATGATTAAATGATGGAATGGAAGTAGCAAAATTCTTACTGAATCATTCTGTAGACACATATACTAATCTTTTCGGAAATGATGAAACTTTCTCTGTAAATAGATTTCGGTTGAAAAAATAAAGAACTTAAAATAATTTTTCGTAAAAAATAATATCGTCAATCGAACCATCCGAGCGGTTTTAACGACGATGGTGACGCTTTGCCTTCTCGATATGTAATATATTATTATTATTATTATTATTATTGTTATTATTATTATTATTATTATTATTATTATTATAAACGTGTCCCCATAGTTCGTTGTATTATCGTCAGACGTCATGGTGTTATAAGAATTACTATCATCACAATAATAAATTAATAGTTCCACAACGTAATTAATTCTTACCACTTTATTATATACCTAGATTTGCGACGTCTCAGACGGTTTATTATACATTTATACAATTTAATGTAGGTTCTCTAAATGAGTTTTTGATGAAGTATTACCACAAAAATTGTGATAACTGTATAATATAATTGTGCAAGGGCATATACGAGGGAGGATGTATGAGGGCAGATCCTCCATAAATGTGTTTTAAAATTTATAAAATAGTGTTTTTTGTATAAGAGTGTTACTTGGAAGTATTAAAAAAAATGGCTATTTTTTTATAAAATTGTTGTAAATTTTTATTTCGTCACATCCAAAAGATGGCATACTGTTAAACTAATCAGTAATCATAGTATTATATTTATTTGATATAATATATTCAATTATATAAATATATTATATTATTAAAAGAATATAAAATTTAACCGACCGGCAACCACGTGAGTCATCACTACCACCACCGATAACTACAATTTTTATTGGTTTTTGAGATGTAACTTCTACAGTGGTAATACAAAATATTTTTTTTTTGAATGAAAACTTTCTATTTTTAGTTTTTACTGCACACGATTTTTTTAAATATGTTGATATGCATTTTTTTTAAATTTATTAATGTTTTGTTTAAATTTTTATACTTGCTATAAAGATAATAGCTAATATTTTAAATATTTTAAATACAGGCAAGTAAATTTAAAAATTTTAAAAAATCACACAATTTGAATTAATGCGCAAATAAATGAAAAATGCAAAAAAAAAAGATCATGCTTGTTAAATCCCAATGAGTATAATTTTGCTAGTTAAGATGTCACGGGTATTTTTTTTTATCTATAGTAATATTATTGGTTATTCGATTAGAACACTTAAATTTTTTCAATTTTAATCACGGTTTTGGATGGTTATGGTTAAAATGGTATACGATGCGGAATTCAGATATTAAATAAATAACTATCAAACGATGATAGTCGCTCACATAAAGCGGCTCATTGTTACTTCTCGAACAATGCTCTGCAATTTACGTATTTATAAATCTATTTAAAGTATATGTAGTATATGTGTTTAATATGTAAACGCGCGATTACTTACTTAAAGTTAAATGGAAAAACTTGCTACTATTATTTCGCAGTCCACGTACAACCATGCATTATTTACTTGCGTTTCAATCGTGATAAAACTCAATTTGCTACGTAATTCGTTACACTTATTATTATACACTTTATACTGTAACCGGATATAAGCAACTTTGCAGCTGAGAGTATTGTTTAAACATGTTTTCCAAAAAGTTGGTTATAGGGGTCATAGGGTACCTGCCTAATATAAACTTCCCATTATCACCATTATGTTATTATTATTATTATTATTATTACGTTTAATTTGGATGATACAAGTAGATCGCGTTTGTTTAAATTTAAATAAATTCTAGTTCCTTGGTTATTGGCGGGTTTTAAAAGAACCTATATTGTATTTAGATATAAAAAATATTTTAGCCTTTTTAATTTTAATAATTTACCGGCAATCACCAATAAATTAAATTCTAACCAGTGCCGTTCAGGGGGGGGGATAA